AGATAGATTCTGAGGATGATTCCTCTTTGATTTTATCAAGAATCTCTAAATATATAGCAGGAGCACCGGACCATATGTGGCAGCAATATTCAAAGCATGGATGAATGGTAGACTTATAAATATGTAAGATAGATTCTGGAGAGAAACATTGCAGATTCCTCTTTGGATTTTATCAAGAATCTCTAAATATATAGCAGGAACACCGGACCATATGTGACAGCAATATTCAAAGCATGGATGAATGGTAGACTTATAAATATGTAAGATAGATTCTGGAGAGAAACATTGCAGATTCCTCTTTGGATTTTATCAAGAATCTCTAAATATATAGCAGGAGCACCGGACCATATGTGGCAGCAATATTCAAAGCATGGATGAATGGTAGACTTATAAATATGTAAGATAGATTCTAGAGAGAAACATTGCAGATTCCTCTTTGGATTTTATCAAGAATCTCTAAATATATAGCAAGAGCACCGGACCATATGTGGCAGCAATATTCAAAGCATGGATGAATGGTAGACTTATAAATATGTAAGATAGATTCTAGAGAGAAACATTGCAGATTCCTCTTTGGATTTTATCAAGAATCTCTAAATATATAGCATTAGCACCAGACCATATGTGGCAGCAATATTCAAAGCATGGATGAATGGTAGACTTATAAATATGTAAGATAGATTCTAGAGAGAAACATTGCAGATTCCTCTTTGGATTTTATCAAGAATCTCTAAATATATAGCATTAGCACCAGACCATATGTGGCAGCAATATTCAAAGCATGGATGAATGGTAGACTTATAAATATGTAAGATAGATTCTGAGAGAAACATTGCAGATTCCTCTTGGATTTTATCAAGAATCTCTAAATATATAGCAAGAGCACTGGACCATATGTGGCAGCAATATTCAAAGCATGGATGAATGGTAGACTTATAAATATGTAAGATAGATTCTGAGAGAAACATTGCAGATTACTCTTTGATTTTATCAAGAATCTCTAAATATATAGCAGGAGCACCCGGACCATATGTGGCAGCAATATTCAAAGAATGGATGAATGGTAGACTTATAAATATGTAAGATAGATTCTGGGAGAAACACTGCGGACTCAAGAAAATCAAGAAAATACAGCTGAAATTCTTTAAACCTATAATGAAAAATGAGGGCTTGAGAACTTAATCCTCCCTAGGCATTTTCTCGATTCGAACTGGTCTACTGCGTTAGATAAGATCTCGTGAGAATCCATTCGTTCCTTCATTGAATATCTGCCCCGCTTTACATCTGAGATTCGTAACAAAAATCCAGTGTGTCATATCATCATTTCTGTCCTGGCACCTTGGCCTCAGTCACCTTCTTACCGATAAGACATGTCTTCTCTTCGTCTTTTCTACAATTATTTTCAGGGCAATTGTTTTGATAAGCTGCTATCTTTATTACCTCGACTTTATAAATTTAAGCGTACTACTAGATTGGCAATTAGGTCTCCTTTTTCTGTTGAACTAGCTAGATGAAACCGCCAGTTCTATTCTAATAGCTCCTATTTTTCGTACTTCTCACGTGTTGAACTACTTCTGATTTCTTTCAAAAATTTAAATACAACATCAATCATCATCTTCTGTTTTCCTGAAATCTGTTCTTTTATTGTCCTTAGGGCGGAACTATTAAAAAAAAACAGAAAAATAAACATTTACATACATTTTTTTTAAAAACTATTTCCCTCCAAGCAAGGCGGGATGCCACTAGTACTCAGGGTGTTACAGAAAGTACGAGCTAGAGTAAAGAATCGTGATGGAGGAAAGAATGAAGAGAAGAGCAGGGTATAGTTCAGGGCATCGGGAGATGTCGATTGACATTACATTTAAATAGTTGGAGATTATAGCTATCAAGGAAACAAGTAATAGGAATGAAATTACACAGGCGGGAGGTGCGAGACATGAAGCTATTGGGGTAGAAGAGACGGGTATATTTAACCGTTTCGACAGTGAAAGGGTGGGACGGTGATGTCAGCCTAGTAGCACGCTTAAATTCATGCAGTCTGGAAACTAGGTAAAATAGCTCGTCGGAGCAGTTACCGTGAAGTATTTATAGAAAAGACAGATGGAGGCGACGACACGTCTGTGAGAGAGCGACTGTAGACAAGATGCCAGATCAGGGCCAATAACATTGCATATCTGTCTCCGACTTTTGTTGCGGACCTTAAGACGAACAGCAGGGTCTCCAGACCATATATGGCAGCAGTATTCCATGCAAGGACTGAAGGATGGATTCGGTGGAGAAAAAAACTTTCCTTGTGGTGGATGAAGCACATGAAGTAGTGTTGCTACATCTGGGCTGAAATTGCCCAACAATCAATTTAAAACTTTGATACAATATGGAAAAGGTTTACTTGGCCTTGTCGTTGATGAATGATTGTCCACTTTAAAAACTCGAGTCGAATAATTTTAATTAGCCTTGTCAGATGGAAACTTTCATATAAATGTCGTGCATGACGCTAAACCCGTTCAGAAATATGTAAACTGCCAGCTCTATATAACCGCTTTCTAAGATCAATGAATTTTTTTTTTTAAAGGCTTTGAACGAAGCGAGAGGGCTTTGGCAAAGATCATACCCTTTGAACATCGTGGACTGGCGCTATATATTCACAAACAAGGAACTGCACCAATTAACAGAAACTACATCATATCTATCTATCTATCTATCTATCTATCTATCTATCTATCTGCCTGTCTGTCAGTCTGTCTGTGTCTCTCTGTCTGTTCATTATATATCTATCTATCTATCTATCTTCTTCTCTTCATATCTATCACTCACAATCTATTCAGTCTATTATCTATCTGTCCATCTGTTCAATAACTATCTATCTATTTATCTATTTATCTGTTTCCCAGTCTGTTCATTATCTATCTACCTTTCTATCTGTCTATCACAGTCTGTTCATTATCTATCTATCTATCTATCTATCTATCTATCTATCTATCTATCTATCTATCTATCGCAGTCTGTTCATTATCTATCTATCTATCTATCGCAGTCTGTTCATTTATCTATCTATCTATCTATCGCAGTCTGTTCATTATCTATCTATCTATCTATCGCATCTATATCTATCTATCTATCTATCTATCTATCTATCTATCTATTATCTATCTCAGACTGTTCATTATCTATTATCTATCTATCTATCTATGACAGTCTGTTTATTATATATCTGTTCATTATCTATCTATCTATCTATCGATCTCGTTCTGTCTATATCTATCTGTCTCAATCTGTTTATTATCTATCGATCTATCTGTCGGTGAGTCTGTTCATTATCTATCTATCTATCTATATATATATATATATATATATATATATATATATATATATATATACATATACATATCAATCTGTTTATTATCTATTTATCTATTTGTTCAATATCTATCTATGTATCTATCTGTCTGTTCATTATCTATCTATCTATCTATCTATCTATCTATATCTATGTATCTATGTTCTCTTTATATATATCTATCACAATCTTTTTATCTATCTATCTATCTATCTATCTATCTATCTCAGTATCTGTTCAGTATCTATCTATCTATCTATCTATCTATCTCTCTGTCTGTCTGTCTGCCTGCCTGTTCATTATCTATCTCTCTATTAGTTATAATGGTTTAGGATAACATGAAGAGTCAGTTACTAACTGGCTTATCAAATGTTTTAGTTAATTCATGAAACATAAGTGCTCGCTTTTCTGCAATAGTATTTCAGGCACATCCTCTAAATCCATCCTAAATATTTAGGATGTGGAATTGGTAAATAGCAAATCCTTCAACTACCTCAATGTATGGATCAGTTATAAGAAATTTAATAGAGGATCTAAGGAAATTGGTCATTTATTAGGCTGCAGTTGAGATAGTTTCTCACAATACCGCAAGTTGCTACAGCACTAAAAGATTGACCGGATAACTTGAGTCATGTCTCGTAAATAGGCTCGTCAGTTCGAGACTTCCATGTAAGTGCGCTATGCATGGCGCCAAACCTGTTCAGAAATATCGAAACTGTCAAAGCTTAAAATGACTTCGGGTGAGCAAATCAGGTACATTTTGGCGAGACCAAAATAATTTTTCGAACCCGTGGTCGGGCGCTACACAATCGCAAACAAAGAATAAGCAAAATGAGGAAACAAATAAATGACAGAAAGAAAAAAAAAAATAACTACGGCATTCTACACGAGTTCACACGCACACACACATACACGCATGTACAGGCGTACACACAAACATACACGCACGTACAGGCGTACACACAAATATGCACGCGCGTACAGGCGTACACACACATACACACATGTACACACACACGAACGTACAGGCGAACACACACATACACACATGTATATACACCCACACACCCACACACAAAGAAAGGAAAATACAATTTTGTATTTTTGATTATAAATTATTATTATTTTTTTTTACTTAAACGTAAATATAACGAAAATGAATATATATATATATATATATATAAAAGAAAGAGGTTGTAGTGGTTCCAACGAGAGAAAAGTATGTATATTAAAAAGAAGAGAAGAGAGGTGCCGCAAACGTTTTTGGTTGTAATGTGGATTTTTTTAAAAAAATATTATGGTTTATTTTTCATAATTTTACTACACGGGTTTCTGGTCTCGTGACCGTCTTCAGGTAAAAGCGGAGATTTCCACATATTATTAAAAATAATTAATTTTTTCCTTATGTTCAATGTTAAATATTCTCGATATGAGACATTCTCTGTTTGTGTGTTGGTAATACGAAGTCTCATATATATATACCACGTCGATAGCAAACAAGCAAACTTATAGCCGTTAGAGAGTTAATGAATTTGCGTTCCGGAAGTGTCGATTTAAAATGGTGTCTTAAGGATTGTTTATTGTTGTTGACTAAAATATTTAAATATGCCGTTTTAATTTTAAAGATCGAAAAATGAAAAATTAAATAAATGTGCGTATACATATGTTTTTTTTATCATACCCCTATCTATCTATCTATCTATCTATCTATCTATCTCTATATGTATGTGTGTGTGTCTGTGTGTGTGCCTATGTGTGTGACCTGGTGTGTGCGTGTGTATCTGTCTCTATGTGTGTGTGTGTATATGTACGGAAATTTTTTTAAATGCAATATATATTAAAGGATAATATGAAGAAATATAAAAATTACTAAAATTTTCGCTCTTGTCTATAAATATTTGTTACAAAATAAAATTCTCACATTTGCCTTGACAAAGTCCCTCGGAGGACGAAACGCCTTTGACTAAATAAGTTTTACTTTGTCTTAATCTGTCCACACACACACACACACACACACATATATATATATATATATATATATATATATATATATATATATATATATATTGAATCCTAATAATATAAAATATTAAAATTGATCCACAAAGGGAGCTCAATGTATTTATTACAGAGCATATAAATATTTTGATATAAATGAAATTCAATGGAACCCCATTTACGAATAAGGTACAATTGAAATTCATTTATTTTAATTCATATATATATATATATATATATATATATATATATATATATATATATATATATATACATACACACTCTCTCTCTCTCACACATACATACATACATCTATATATATATATATATATATATATATGAAATTCAATGAGTATACCAGATAGCGATCGTATACAAATACATATAAATATTAAATAGTGTAAGAAAAAACACTGCTCAATGTAAAGTAACAGAGTTATTTAACACACACACATATATATATATATATATATATAATAATAATAATAATAATAATATTCGTAATATCTTACATTAATTGCATATCTCGGTGATTCATGCCGAAGCAATTGTCAAGTTTGAAAATTGCTTCAGCATAAAACTAGGTGTTGTGCAATTAATGTAAGATATTATGCACATTGCGTAATAGATAGATAGATAGATAGATAGATAGATAGATAGATAGATAGATAGATAGATGCATGTGCGAGCGAGCGTGCGCGCGTGTGTGTGCGTGTAGGCGGGTGTACATGGATGGACCCAGATGGACAAAAAAGCCTAATTTACCAATTTACATTCGGCTAAATGAAAATGATTCTCGTTGAAAGGACGAAAAAGATTATTATTTGAAAATAGGTGTAAATTTTCAGCGACAAACTTTTCTTTATCGACGAGCTATTTGGAGCCCGGTCGTAAAATATGGTGTTGGTGTATTAACAATAAAGAGAAAGAAGGGAATGCTTGAAAAGCACTTTCACTAATTAATCTATCTATCTATCTATCCTAGATCTGTTATACATATTGTCTGTTCATATCTATCTATCTATCTATCTATCTATATCTATCTATCTATCTATCTATCTATCTGTTGTCTGTTCATATCTATCTATCTCAGTGTGTTCATATTCTATCTATGTATCTAGGTCTGTTTCTTTCTTTCTTTCTTTCTTTCATTATTTTTTTTTTTTTTTATCTATCTAGCTAACTTGGTAGCTATCTAGCTATATATATCAGCTTTTTTTTTATATCTATTTACCATATCTATCGCAATCTGTTCATATCTATCTATCTATCTATCTATCTATCTATCTATCTATCAGTCTCTTCATATCTATCTATCTAACTTTCTATCTATCAACGTCTGCATCTGTTTCATCTGTTTCATCTTTTTATTTATATCAATCTGTTCATATCTATCTATCTATCTATCTATCTATCTCAATCTGTTCATTATCTATCTATCTATCTATCTATCTATCTATCTATCTATCTATCTATCTATCTATCTATCTATCTGTCTGTCTGTCAGTGTTTTTATATCTATGTACGTATCTACGTCTGTTTCTTTCTTTCTTTCATTATTTTTTCTTTTTTTCATCTATCTCATCTATCTCCCTTCTTTTTTTTTATCTATCTATCTAGCTAGCTAGCTAGCTAGCTAGCTATCAGACTCCCTTCATATCTATCTTGCTAACGAGGTAGCTATCTAGCTATATATCTATCTCCTCTTCTTTCTTTTTATCTATCTATCTATCTATCTATCTATCTATCTATCTATCTATCTATCTATCTATCCCATTCTGTTCATATCTATCTATGTCTCCTTCTTTCTTTCTTTCTTTCTTTCTTTGATTTTCTAGTTTCCAATTCATTTTCCTTTCTTATTCTTTATTTCATTCTTTCTTTCTTTTTCGATTTTTCCATTTCATTTTCATCTTTCTTTCTTTCATTCCATCTACGTCTGCTTCTTTCTTTCTTTCATTCTTTTCTATCTATCTATCTATCTATCTATCTATCTATCTATCTCTCTATCTATCTCTCTATCTCTACGTCGTCTTCTTTTTTTTCATTCTTTCTATTTCTTTCTTTCAATCTATCTCCGTCTGCTTTTTTATTTCTTTCATTCTTTTCTTTTTCTATCTGTCATCTATCTATCTATCTATCTACGTTTTCTTCTTTCTTTCATACTTTCTTTTTCTTTCTTTCTATCTATCTTTCTTTCACTCTATGTCCGTCTGCTTCTTTCTTTCTTTCATTTTTTCTTTTTCTTTCTTTCTCTCTATCTATCTTTCTTTCATTCTATCTATCTATCTATCTATCTATCTATCTATCTATCTCCGTTCTTTCCATGTGTGTATGTGTGTCAGATTGAGTTCTCAACGGTGTGAGCGTGCGTAGAGACCTAAAGCCATATTGTTATTGGAATAAGTTTGACGAGAGCGATTCACTGGTAGTTAATTGATCGGTGAACTAATTCTGACCCTTGCAGCAAACTTTCTGTACAATCTAAATTACGAACTGATTAGATCTGTCTGTCTTCAAGCTTTCCGCCACATTGCCGTCAGCCATGTTTCCAGGCTCATCGATTTGGGACTCCTCCCATCGCCTATTTAACCTGTTTATTATTGTTGTTGCTATTGCTGAAATTGTTCAACTTTCCGGTGGCTATTAATGTTGATTGTAATTATTTGCTGCTTGTTTACTAGTTCGTTTAATTGTTCCTTTCTGTTCAGACGATTCATTTCTTTTAGATCCTCAGTTGCTTTTAACACTAAAACGACCAAAACGAATTACAGGAAGGTCGGACGCTGCAAATATGGCATCAAAAACTGGGAAGACGTCAATGTTGACACTGAGGCTATTTGGTTAACTCCTAATATACAGCGATAGAAAGTCTTCTCGTCGCGGTTGAGGAAAGGACGAAATAAACTGTTTTTCGTGAGCTCTGGTTAACGGGAGCCTATATCTACCAGCACATAGACAGACAACGCTTATATTCGGCCAAATAAAGATGAAAGAAATCCTAGTGAAAAATGAAGAATCCTTGACAATGCTTGATCTAATGAAAATTGCAGATAATATTACTACTACTAATACTACTAGTGGAAATAAAGCAATTGGAATGAAGATGAAAGAAAATCTAGTGAAAATGAAGAATGATTGACAATGCTTGATCTAATGAAAATTGCAGATAATATTACTACTACTAATACTACTAGTGGAAATAAAGCAATTGAAATGAAGATGAAAGAAACCTAGTGAAAAATGAAGAATCCTTGACAATGCTTGATCTAATGAAAATTGCAGATAATATTACTACTATTAATACTACTAGTGGAAATAAAGCAATTGAAATGAAGATGAAAGAAACCTAGTGAAAATGAAGAATTCTTGACAATGCTTGATCTAATGAAAATTTCAGATAATATTACTACTACTAATACTACTAGTGGAAATAAAGCAATTGAAATGAAGATGAAAGAAACCTAGTGAAAAATGAAGAATTCTTGACAATGCTTGATCTAATGAAAATTTCAGATAATATTACTACTACTAATACTACTAGTGGAAATAAAGCAATTGAAATGAAGATGAAAGAAATCCTAGTGAAAAATGAAGAATTCTTGACAATGCTTGATCTAATGAAAATTTCAGATAATATTACTACTACTAATACTACTAGTGGAAATAAAGCAATTGAAATGAAGATGAAAGAAATCCTAGTGAAAAAATGAAGAATTCTTGACAATGCTTGATCTAATGAAAATTGCAGATAATATTACTACTACTAATACTACTAGTGGAAATAAAGCAATTGAAATGAAGATGAAAGAAATCCATGAAAAATGAAGAATTCTTGACAATGCTTGATCTAATGAAAATTTCAGATAATATTACTACTACTAATACTACTAGTGGAAATAAAGCAATTGAAATGAAGATGAAAGAAATCCTAGTGAAAAATGAAGAATGCTTGACAATGCTTGATCTAATGAAAATTGCAAAATAATATTACTACTACTAATACTACTAGTTGAAATAAAGCAATTGGAATGAAGATGAAAGAAACCAGAGAAAATGAAGAATGCTTTATAATGCTTGATCTCATGAAAATTGCAGATAATATTACTACTACTAATACTACTAGTGGAAATAAAGCAATTGGAATGAAGATGAAAGAAATCCTAGAGAAAAATGAAGAATGCTTTATAATGCTTGATCTCATGAAAATTTCAGATAATATTACTACTACGAATACTACTAGTGGAAATAAAGCAATTGAAATGAAGATGAAAGAAATCCTAGTGAAAAATGAAGAATACTTGACAATACTTGATCTAATGAAAATTGCAGATAATATTACTACTACTAATACTACTAGTGGAAATAAAGCAATTGAAATGAAGATGAAAGAAATCCTAGTGAAAAATGAAGAATACTTGATAATGCTTGATCTAATGAAAATTGCAGATAATATTACTACTACTAATACTACTAGTGGAAATAAAGCAATTGAAATGAAGATGAAAGAAACCTAGTGAAAATGAAGAATACTTGACAATACTTGATCTAATGAAAATTGCAGATAATGTTACTACTACTAATACTACTAGTGGAAATAAAGCAATTGAAATGAAGATGAAAGAAACCTAGTGAAAATGAAGAATACTTGACAATACTTGATCTAATGAAAATTGCAGATAATATTACTACTACTAATACTACTAGTGGAAATAAAGCAATTGAAATGAAGATGAAAGAAATCCTAGTGAAAAATGAAGAATACTTGATAATGCTTGATCTAATGAAAATTGCAGATAATATTACTACTACTAATACTACTAGTGAAATAAAGCAATTGAAATGAAGATGAAAGAAAATCCCTAGTGAAAAATGAAGAATACTTGATAATGCTTGATCTAATGAAAATTGCAGATAATATTACTACTACTAATACTACTAGTGGAAATAAAGCAATTGAAATGAAGATGAAAAAAATCCTAGTGAAAAATGAAGAATACTTGACAATACTTGATCTAATGAAATTGCAGATAATATTACTACTACTAATACTACTAGTGGAAATAAAGCAATTGAAATGAAGATGAAAGAAATCCTAGTGAAAATGAAGAATACTTGATAATGCTTGATCTAATGAAAATTGCAGATAATATTACTACTACTAATACTACTAGTGGAAATAAAGCAATTGAAATGAAGATGAAAAATCCTAGTGAAAATGAAGAATACTTGATAATGCTTTGATCTAATGAAATTGCAGATAATATTACTACTACTAATACTACTAGTGGAAATAAAGCAATTGAAATGAAGATGAAAGAAATCCTAGTGAAAAATGAAGAATACTTGATAATGCTTTGATCTAATGAAAATTGCAGATAATATTACTACTACTAATACTACTAGTGGAAATAAAGCAATTGAAATGAAGATGAAAGAAATCCTAGTGAAAAAAAAAAATACTTGAATCTAATGAAAAATTGCAGATAATATTACTTACTACTAATACTACTTGAAATAAAGCAATTGAAATGAAGATGAAAGAAACCTGAAGAAAATTGCTTGATCTAATGAAAATTGCAGATATTATTACTACTAATACTACTAGTGGAAATAAAGCTAAATTGAAATGAAGATGAAAGAAATCCTAGTGAAAAATGAAGAATACTTGATAATGCTTGATCTAATGAAAATGCAGATAATATTACTACTACTAATACTACTAGTGGAAATAAAGCAATTGAAATGAAGATGAAAGAAACCTAGTGAAAAAATGAAGAATACTTGATAATGCTTGATCTAATGAAAATTGCAGATAATATTACTACTACTAATACTACTAGCAAATTGAAATGAAGATGGAAAATGAAGAATACTTGATAATGCTTGATCTAATGAAAATGCAGATGAAGAGAAATCCTAGTGAAAAAATGAAAAATACAGGAAAAAATGATAATGTTTGATCTAATGAAAATTGCAGATAATATTACTACTACTAATACTACTAGTGGAAATAAAGCAATTGAAATGAAGATGAAAAAAATCCTAGTGAAAAAAATGAAGAATACTTGATAATGTTTGATCTAATGAAAATTGCAGATAATATTACTACTACTAATACTACTAGTGGAAATAATGCAAATTGAAATTGAAAATGAAAAGATGAAAGAAACCTAGTGAAAAATGAAAGAATGATTGAAAATGAAGAATACTTGATAATGCTTGATCTAATGAAAATTGCAGATAATATTACTACTACTAATACTACTAGTGGAAATAAAGCAATTGAAATGAAGATGAAAGAAATCCTAGTGAAAATGAAGAATACTTGATAATGCTTGATCTAATGAAAATTGCAGATAATATTACTACTACTAATACTACTAGTGGAAATAAAGCAATTGAAATGAAGATGAAAAAATCCTAGTGAAAATGAAGAATTCTTGACAATGCTTGATCTAATGAAAATTGCAGATAATATTACTACTACTAATACTACTAGTGGAAATAAAGCAATTGAAATGAAGATGAAAGAAATCCTAGTGAAAAATGAAGAATTTTGACAATGCTTGATCTAATGAAAATTGCAGATAATATTACTACTACTAATACTACTAGTGGAAATAAAGCAATTGAAATGAAGATGAAAAAAAATCCTAGTGAAAATGAAGAATTCTTGACAATGCTTGATCTAATGAAAATTGCAGAAAATATTACTACTACTAATACTACTAGTGGAAATAAAGCAATTGAAATGAAGATGAAAAGAATCCTAGTGAAAAATGAAGAATTCTTGACAATGCTTGATCTAATGAAAATTTCAGATAATATTACTACTACTAATACTACTAGTGGAAATAAAGCAATTGAAATGAAGATGAAAGAAATCCCTAGTGAAAAAATGAAGAATTTTGACAATGCTTGATCTAATGAAAATTGCAGATAATATTACTACTACTAATACTACTAGTGGAAATAAAGCAATTGAAATGAAGATGAAAGAAATCCTAGTGAAAATGAAGAATTCTTGACAATGCTTGATCTAATGAAAATTTCAGATAATATTACTACTACTAATACTACTAGTGGAAATAAAAGCAAATTGAAATGAAGATGAAAGAAATCCTAGTGAAAATGAAGAATTCTTGACAATGCTTGATCTAATGAAATTTCAGATAATATTACTACTACTAATACTACTAGTTGAAATAAAGCAATTGAAATGAAGATGAAAGAAATCTTAGTGAAAATGAAGAATGCTTTGATAATGCTTGATCTAATGAAAATTGCAGATAATATTACTACTACTAATACTACTAGTGGAAATAAAGCTAAATTGAAATGAAGATG